TGAAAGTAGTCCACTTGACATAAACTAGGTCATTTCGGAACTAACGTATGGTTTAATTTTATTTCAATAATTCGCTTGCGCGTAGGGGTCTTTAGAAGTGGGGGGAAACCGGAGGACCCGGAGAAAACCCACGAGGTTGGACAGGCGACCCTACTCCTTGTCACGTAGAACCGGGGAAAAGAAACCACGTCAGTTGACTCAATCACAGACTTTATATGATACAGCGCGCACACGCTAACCATTCGCCCCCCCCCCCCGATGTATGACACAATAACTGGAATTTCGTATTAAGACAAGTATGTTGACATTAAACACTCGCCCCACCCCACCACTCTATTTAATTCAGCCAGTGAAGGCTACCAAACTTGTATCAATTTTAATTTTAAAAAGTTTATATGCATTCCCCCGAGAATATAATAAATACATTTCAAGAGAGGATTTACTTTACTTTTCAATATAGATATACGGAATTTTGGATGAAACCCCGCATTTTTATTTAAAATACTCTCCCCTTCCCCTTTCACTTTTCAAGGCAAGTAAATATAAATATAAATGTGCCAGAAAATTATTCATATATTTGAAAAGAACAGTGAACGTGCTTTCTACTGATATGTAGCATGATATCTGGAATTTCGTATTAAGACCCGTAATTTGGTAGTGAGGGCCAGCTTGATTCGCAGTTAGTGAAGGGTAAGTATTCTTAGTGAAGGATGAGATAGTGAGGGCTGACTTGATTTCGTGGCCGCTTCAACATTGATAAATAAAGTCGACAACCCGACAACCCGACATTACGACACCACGACAACCCGACAACCCGACATCACGACATTTTACGCGACAATACGACATTCTTAATGTCGTGGTGTCGGGTGAAAATGTCGTAGTGTCGGGTTAAAAATGTCATATTGTCGCGTAAAAATGTCGTGATGTCGGGTTGTCGTGGTGTCGGGTTATAATGTCGTGGTGTCGGGTTATAATGTCGTGATGTCGGGTTGTCGGGTTGTCGCCTTATGAAGGGCGACACCACGACATCACGACATGATACCAATCAGCCACCATAAAAATTGATTAAAACTCATCAAGTGTTTATAACGCCAGGAACTTTTCTGACAGATGCCATTTTCATCATGTAGTTAATCACGTGACCAATGACCTCTAGGTCAACCAGTTCAGTGCGTGAGCCGACGGCAGAGTCGAATGCTTGATAGCAAGACTTGTGTAGAGGGTGGCATAACCGGGGAAAACGAGCGCGGGAATGCCGCGAAAACGTGTATATGGAAAACGGGCTTAACACTGTTGAAGTGACCCTTGAGACCGATTCGTTGTCTTTGGTTTCGGTGGAAACAATGTGTTCTGTGGATAGCTCAAATCCAAGTTGCCAAATAACATATATAATTATTTCATTCGTTTGAAGAATGTCTTAACAAAGATGAATCCCAGGATAGCGGTGGGTGATTTGGATGACTTTGCTAAAGTATATATAAACTAAAAGGATCACGTGCAAAAAGTACCTGAAGCCATGTCGATATGTCGATATGTCCAACATGCACGAATCCGACAGATTATGTGGCGTAATAGTCGGGCGTATACGTAATGTGTGAAAATATACCGTAAGATAAATAGAGAACCTCCTTCGAGTCTTTTTTGATATAAAAAAATATCAACATAAGTTGATAAATTATTTGCCGAGAATGTTTTTTTACTTTATCAACGAGTGTTGATATCTTTTGATATAAAAAAAAAACGAGTAGTAGATTTTATTTATCACTCAATCTTTTCTTACATGCACAAACAAAAAATCATTTGCTATTGATTTCACGTTTACTAAACCTGATTACACCACGGCGTAGTGAAACATTAGTTTTTGTCAGCAATTCAACCATTGGAAAATCCTTTAAATTGACCCAGTGTTTCCATTTAAGTCAATTAAATGAAAATAGTTCCTTTTTAATAAAAAAAAGTTACTTTTAATAAAAAATGAACTGTTCTTTGAAAATAAACAAAAGTAGTACCTTTTTAATTGATAAATCAAATTCATGTAAAGCAATATCGCAGTAAATTATGAAATTTATCACACAAGCGATATGCACTGTAGAATGTGTTATTGTGTGATAATATTATCTTTTAATATGCGTGAAATACATTTATTGTATTTTAATGTACTTTTTACATTTTGGTAACACATGTCCTCCTTGTTTTAACGGTATTGTAAATCGCGTATAAAATTTGTTAAATGTATTTAAAGGACAATATTGGTGCCAGTCATTATCACATATGTGATAGAGCTGGTTAAACACATTCCAAATATAATTTTAACACAGAGATCATTGCTACGATAGCTGAGTAATACAGGTTTCCTGAATCGGAAGTGACGAACGCCAAAGGAAAACACGAGTCATACCTCTATATAACTGACTGATGTGACGAGTGATAACAGATACACGGCCGAATTTCTGCTCACTAATAATTCCTTCCAAGACCAAAAGTTGTTATATGGGACTGTAAGAGGATACCTGACAATTCAATAAAGTAATTGAATGTCATTAGATAAGTGAACACGAGAAAAATAGAAATAGTCCGTACATTCCCTTGTTTATATTCATTCTATACCTTATAAAAAGGTATACCTTGGTAATGCACGGACTTTTTCTGTTTTTCTTTCGTGTTCTCTTATCTAGTGGTAGTCAATTCTTTTTATGAATTGTCAGATATCCTCTCACAGGCTCACACAACAACTTTTGGTCTTGGAAGGAATTATTAGTGAGCAGAAATTTGGCCGTGTATCTGTTATCACTCGTCACATCAGTCAGTTATATAGAGGTATGACTCGTGTTTTCCTTTGGCGTTCGTCACTTCCGATTGAGGAAGCTTGTATTACTCAGTTATCGTAGCAATGATCTCTGTGTTAAAATTATATTTGGAATGTGTTTAACCAGCTCTATCACATATGTGATAATGACTGGCACCAATATTGTTCTTTTAATGTCTCTTATATTATGGCGACACCTGTTGTTACAAGCTACAACCCCCAGAATACAGCACTACGACAGATATATAACTGATTTTATGACCCGCCGTCGACTATAGTCAGCTAAAATCGATTAAAAGGGCAAAATCGCCAAAATCTGGGACCTAGAAATTGATACAAATGGTGGCAATGCATATAATAATGTAATATGAATGTATATAAACTGATTTACATTCAATCGATCGTTTCTGTTTTTACTGTAACCCGGGTTTCAAATGATATTTTAACGGAAATTGATAATAGAAAATGTACATTTTTAATTTTATTAGATTTATCTGCTGCTTTCGATACGGTAGACCCTTCCATTCTTCTACGTAGAGTTCAATTTAAATTCCGTATTTGTGGCTCTGCATTAAATCTTTTCGAAAGTTTTCTTGTGGGTAGAAAACAGTGTATTTTAGTTAATTGTAAATCGTCGTCTGAATCTGTTTTGTCATCTGGGGTTCCCCAAGGTACTGTTCTTGGTCCGATTTTATTTACCCTCTATACGTCACCATTAGGTGATGTTGTCAGAAAATATGGTCTCAGCATTCATTTATATGCCCATGATACTCAATTATATATTTCATTTACACCTAATTGTCCATCTTCTTTCAATTTATCAAAATTGCAACTTGAGAACTGTATTAGTGAAATTAGAAAATGGGTGTCAAAGAACTTTCTAAAATTAAATGATGATATTTAATATGCTATGATATGATGCTATTTTAATATCAGAAATATAGGTAAAATACGTAAATTTGTAATTGTAGAGGCCACTAAGTCACTTGTTAATTCTCTGGTCACTTCTCGATTAGATAACTTTAATTCACTTTTAGTTGCTTTACCTTTAAAGCTTATAGATAAATTACAAAAAGTACAGAATACTGCAGCTAGACTTGTTACTTCAAAAAGATACATTATGGGAGATTCGATAACGAGTTGGCAGTTCGCACTATAATAATTAAAAACTTGATAACGTAAAGGCAAATTGCTGAAAATTTCATTCAAATTGATCCACTATGAACCGAGAACTAAGCGAATGAAATTTCTGCCTAGCCTCGGTCATCATTACTAAAGTCAGTACGATAAACAGCATAGTCTCGTTTATCCATTTAATCGAGAAGGAAAGTTATGCAGTAAATCGACCCACAATCCACTTAACATCGCAGGCTAGCGATGTCATCTAGAATTGATTATGGTCTGAATAAGTTAATTAATTAAATGTCTAATTAATAATTTAGATAACATTTCAGGCCTAAAGAAAGACCTGCAATAGACAGATTTAGCTCTTGCATAATGTATGTTTAACTAAGAAATGTGACCATATAACTCCTGTTTTATATAATTTACACTGGTTACCTGTTAAATATCGAATTGATTTTAAGATTTTATTACTTACTTTTAAATGTTTAAATAATTTAGCTTCTGTTTACCTCTCAGATCTTTTAGAACTTTATACACCTGGCCGAACATTACGTACATCAGATAAACTACTTTCAAAGCCCCAAACTGTTCAACTAGTCTCTTATGGTCAGCGCTATTTTAGTTATCAAGCACCTGTTTTATGGAATAATCTACCATTTAGTTTTAAAATTCTTTTAAAAAAACTGTCCAACCTCGTGGGTTTTCTCCGGGTCCTCCGGTTTCCTCCCACTGCTAAAGACCCCTATGCGCAAGCGAATTATTGAAATAAAATTAAACCATATGTTAGTCCCGAAATGACCTAGTTTGTGTCGAGTGGACGTTAAACCCCATCTCCCTATCTCTTTCTTTTATTTTTTTAATGTGGACTCATTGTTGTGTGTTCGTTTTCATTTTTATGAGGACTCCTTCACTGGAGGCCTGGAACTGTACAGCACCAGTCTCTCTCTCTCTCTCTCTCTTTTAAAAAACAACTTAAAGCACATTTATTTAATCAGTTTTTTAACTACTCTGTATACAATTGTTAACATGTCCATAATCTTGTTGTTTATTTATGAATGTTATATGAAAGGGCGCACTATAAATCTGCTGTAATAATAATAATAAATAATAATAATAATCAGTTATGTTCGGCGAAATACGCCAGAAGTCTCAATCGAATGGCCATCTCTAGCGCCTGATTATTCCAGTCTAGACAGATAGTATTTATTGCGCATGCTCTCCAGATAAGAATATGATGTCACCGTTTGACATGACTTGTGGAACATGCCTAGTCTCGTTTTTCGAGTCCCTTATTACAAACGCCACTGAAACGCATTATGGTACACGCTTCGTGTACCAAAGGTAAAATGTTTATTTTGTGTTAAATATTGGATACCAGAAGGTCATCTTTTCCCGGTAAGATCACAACATCAATGTTGACTTAAATGTCGAAGATTTTGGATGATATTGAGTTAAAGACTTAGCTACTTTAATTGATTTCCTATAATCTCTTCAATTAAATGGCCCTCGAAAGCATTCTGGCACGCGATTCCTGTGCCAATTTTAAAATTTTCATTTTCTCTTGAATATTGGATATCAGAAGCCCATCTTTCACGGTAAGGTAGCAGCATTAATGTTGATTTAAATTGATCAATAAGTCGTGTTTGCAATGTCGAAAACTGGGGATGATATTGAGTTAGAGACTTTCCTCCTTTGAATGAAAGGGAATATATTGAAAATTTCAGTCAAATTACTTTATTCTGAACGGATTATGACCGTTTGAAGAACATTGTAGTCTCGGTTGTCATTGCTACTGTTGTTACAATAATAACAAAGTCTCGATTATGTAAGGCAGATTTAGCTCTTACATAATGCATCCTTAACTTAAGTCAGTATTAACACCACTATGAAATTCACCACCTCTTTCTTGACTTGCACTAGTTGTAGAACTTGGAACTGAATGTTTTTCACGCGTGTTTTTATCATTAGGCACAGGACTTTTTGAAGTAGACGTTGACGCACTGCCTAAAACTAGCGTCCCTGTTTTAGATGAAGGTGGTCGATTAACGTTCATTACGAATTGTACGGCTTGATTATCAGGGTCGTGATATCGGGATAAGGCCGTATTGAACCGTTTTTGTGGACTAGATGCCGGGGTTGTAAGTGTCTTGTTCACTTTCACCTGTAGGGCTTTTGTCTCTACGTATCTCATATACTGACCTACAGATATAAACATTTTGGGAGAATTAGACGTTTCTCTATAAACATGTGGTATTTTAACAGAAATCGTAGAAAAGGGCCGATATTTGCCCTGTTCTGCTCTTAAAGGCCTTTTGGTATTACGGGGTGATGACATGTAATTGCTATTATAAAGATCTGATGTATATTTCATTCTATCGACTATCGGAATTCGCTTGATATCACAAAATGGTAAAGGGTTAGACATTCCGCCAATGTTCGGGTGTCTGGTAGGGGAAGTTGAACCCACCCATCCATTGCTTCTGTCATGGTATCCTCCCCGGTCACTTTTTCGTGGTTCATGAGATAATGCAACGTTTGATCTCTTTGCTTGGGTACCTTCGTTCACTGTCCATGGGCGTTCTTTACTTATTCTAGGCAGTGTTATTTCTTTGTATCGTATTGGTCGTTCCTCTGGACAAAACGTATTAATGTACACGGTGTCTCTGACGTCAGGAATTGTACATTTATGTTCTGTTGTCAACCACATCGTCTTTTTCATTTCTCTCTTTTCACTTCTGCTGGAATTGGTCGGTTCTCGGACACCAGAGTCCATATGTTTAGAATTGTAGACGCCTCTATCAAAGCTCTTCGTTCTGGTATTAGCTTCATTTCTTATTGATGGAATATTATTTTCCTCGTCGCGGATGAAGTCCAACAAACATGGCGCACCGTAGTTCTGTTGTAATTGTTCTAAGGTTTGTGCACGAACACCGGAAGGGTAAACAGAAGCGTTTAAAAGTTCACCGGTATAGCTTGGTTTACGGTCTCCAAAGTTTTCCCGTCTTTTCCTGTGACGGAGCGTCGTTAAATCGTTATTCTTTCTGGTATTCATGTTATTGAAATGACCTACATGGTCTACATAATTTACACGACAATGGTGATGACACATTCACAGTTCATAATAAGTTTACAGCGTGTTCCCCCACTTGCCTTGTTCTTTCTGGACACTATTCAGCATTATGCCTGCAAGAATTCAAATAAATGAAATGAAATGAGAGAGGGAGAGAGAGAGAGAGAGAGAGAGAGAGAGAGAGAAGGATTAAACGTCCACTCGACACAAACTAGGTCATTTCGCGGGACTAACTTATGGTTCAATTTTATTTCAATAATTCGCTTGCGCGTACGGGTCTTTCGCAGTGGGAGGAAAACGGATGACCCGGAGAAAACCCACGAGGTTGGACAGGCGAGCCTACTCCTTGTCACGAACTAACGGGGAATCGAAACCACGTCAGTTGACTCAATGACAGTCCTTATGATACAACGCGCACGTGCTAACCATTCAGCCATTCACCTCCACCCCCCCCCCCCCCACCACTGAAATGAAATGGGGTTTAACCACTTACTGCTTTGCTTCTACTGGGTTGATGAAGACGAGCAGTGTCCTATGGGGGTTATACAGCGGCGCTTCGGTCTACAATCGAATTCTAACTTTCAAGGGGTTTTTTTACATGCACAGCAATGCGTACACTAAAAAGATCAAACAAGAGAGAGAGAGAAATGGGGTTTAACGTCCACTCGACACAAACTAAGTCATTTCGGGACTAAAAGATCAAACAAATCTACCCCTTTTGTTCATTCTAAATATTTATATGAACATATTAATTGGGGCGCGTATTTTTTTTATAGAGGCTGCGCATGTTCCCCAATCCCATTCAAATATTCTGAATAACATTTGGTTTATACCACAACTAAAACGTGTTTTATTAATTCGCAAAAATTATTACCAAAAGACACTGAACAGAGAATATTGACGCCGTAAATATTTGAGATTTTCATATATGGGGACATTTGTAAGCTATTCAGTTTCAATTTGCTAAAATAATATAAAAAGATGTCCATTTATAACGACAGTGCGTGCCATGAATACTGAACATACAAAAGGGAAGGTCTGCGAGCATGATATACGTCTCCCCTTTTATCATAAATAGTCTGTTTGTTTTTCTTGTGAAGCCTTGGTACAGATCAATAGTCAAGTATATGTAATATATACTATGATAACAGGTAACAGATGTATAAGCGACTCATATTTCTATTTAATCATAATTTAAACTTAGTCAAGCATGGCCTCACCATGGAGGCGATTAGATTGTACTTAGCTCACGGAAAACTTTGTAATCAATGAAATGAAATGGGGTTTAACGTCCTACTGTATTGCTCAGACTGAGCTAATGTGGACGGGTATACGCAATACAGTGTGCTATGAGGGGAATTTTGCCCAGACCATGGAAGTGATTGTATTGTACTTAGCTCATGGAAAACTTTGTTATCAATGAAATGAAATGGGTTTAACGCCACATGTGTTTTGCTCAGACTAGGCTGATGAAACCGGCATACGTCATACTGTGTGCTATGATGGAAATTTTGCCCAGACAGCGGCGCTGATATCGAATTCCAACTCCCAAAGGGTGTTTTGCGTGCACGTCAATATTTTCGTACCATCCGAACGACTATACGTTGTTATTGGCCTGTAATCGATAAAGAATTGGATTCATTCGTTCATTCGTTCGTGGGGTTTAAAGGTGTTTAATGTAAGGTTTAGAAAACGAACTGGCCGTTCATATTAGTTCAGAAATATACAAGGAGACATGAATATGTTGAACATCTCATTCAAATTACTTTATTCTCAGCGACGTTATCAGTATTTGAAGTTTTGACGAGGTAGTCTCAACTGTCACGTACTAATAAACATAGTCTCGGTTATCCATTTTAACGTTAAATTATTAAATGACACGGGTGTTCTAATCCATTCAGTATCTCGGCCATCCGATTTCTAAAGAGTTGATTGTGGTTTATCATGTGAATAAATGTCAAAATAATAGCTTATATACTTCACGCTAGTCATAGACATGCAATAGATAGATTTGGCTATGGATAATGCATCTTTAACGCCCGCTTTCTCCGAGGGTGATTTAGCCAGGCTATACAGAATTGGGTGGTAGTTTGGAGTTTACATATGGCACGTTTTTAAACATCCACCACCCACCTCCAAACCAAAAACAAAAACAAAAACCAACAAATCAAAAGCGAACCAGTACTCTAAATGTTTTAAATCCCCTTTTCTCACCGCCTAAATCTATTTGTTAAGGCCAGCTCAAGGTCGTTGAGATGTAAATAAGGTTAGGGCGCGGGATCGTTGGCGAAATTGTAGGTTAGGGCTGGGTAAGCATTGAGGCTAGGTCCAGGGTTAGGATTGGGATTAGCGCTAGCCCTGTTTACATCTCGTTAACTATGACGAAAAATTGAGCACTAACCTTCTCTCACCCTAGATTCAACTACAAGGTTCGTATTATGTGTCTATAGGGTATGACATACTTACAATGAAAGTAGTTAGTTATATTCGATCGGCTAACACATTTCTTGCAATCCTATGTTTTTAGGACTTTCATGACTCGTACACAAATAAAAACGACGTCCGTGTAGTGAAAGTGTGTTCATCCAACTGATACGTCCGTATACCTACAACACGCAGCTGAAAGATTTAAGTCATGTTTACATTGGTTAGTCCCATTATCTAAGATTAGAGACTAGGGGATTAATATAATCTGAACGTTGAGTGGGATTATGTAGTAAAAAATATCTGTATTTAATTCTTTTCTCCAAGGTATTAATTTCTTATCTGTAGCGAATTATTATTTTCTACTTACAAATACAGTTATTGGGTTACAGTATTTAAAGGCAATTAATACACATAACTCAATCGGATACGGGTTGGGACAGTTACGAAATATTGATCTTTTTTTATTTAGATATTCCTTGTAGGGCCTACATAAAATCGACATAATTATATTTGGATATTATGGCCCGACAATATACAGGGGCCGATCTGGTGTGGACCCGCTGTGAATCTTATTTGATAATTATGTGCAACTACCACATACATAGCGTGGGGAAGTTTTGGGGCGAAATTGGGGTGCGAGTACGAGAGAGAGAGAGAGAGAGAGGGAGAGAGAGAGAGGGGGGTAGCGTCCACTTGACACACACTATAGTCGTTTCAGGTCTTTAGCAGTGGGGGGGGGAGAACCCGGAGAAAACCCACAAGGTTGGGCAGGCGACGCTACTCCTTGTCACGAACAACAGCGGAACTGACTCAATGACAGACCTTATGATACAACGCGCACTCGCTAACCATTCGCCCCCCCCCCCCCGGTGCAGGTACGAACGCTACTTCCATCGGTACAGTGAATCTTTTTTCTTATTAGCGCATCTCAAATACATGTATTTCATTATATTGTGTATATTATGTATAATTTGCTATCTCCATTTATATACGCCTACATTTTCACGTGAATGCATTATGTCGTCGCCCTCGTCCGTCCAACGTCAGGACGTTCGCCCGTTCGCAAGTTTGTGGATACATTACATGTCACAGTTTGTATCCTATTTTGATAAAACTTATAATATAGGTTCATATCTCAGCGATCTAAGATTGGTTACATTTTGGCAGTATCGGGTCCTAAATTCCTGGATTGTAGTCTATGATCACTTTTTAGCTTGTGGGCCTTCATTTTAATTCGATTTTAAATACCATTCAAAATTTCATAATACAACAATCGCGAATGACTTCGAATTGCATAAAACTCATGCTGTAGCTCTCCGATCCGTAAAAATGCCCCCCCCCCTCCCTTTACGCTAATAGAGGCAAAGCATGTAATATACCGGTACAAGAAAGTGAATGCGATAGAGTCTGCAATTTTTAACAGATTTTTTTTTTTCAAATGCGGTTTAAAGTATTAGTAAAACTCAAGTCATTTGGAAGAAATCGTTCCGTTCGGCTGGTCATTTATACATAAAAGGTTTCCATACAGCTTCTAAGAATTTGAATAAAATTAATTTTTTCGTTCCACTTGGCGGTCTCGCCTTTTGTCGAGTTTAACATCACATGTCTACATTAATAATTAAGGATTTTAAAGTCCATTGCCACAAATTCCCCTTGCGTAGTTTCTCAAATCTTGCCAAGTATATGACATACACATACGTATTACTCAATGCGTAGTTGATCAAGCGTTATGGTTGCCTTCGGGTGTAGCGGTTTGACCCGGTACCCGGTTTGACTCGGCACCTGAAGTTTTAATAGCGACAGTTTGTTACCATGCTAGTTTTGCAAACTGGTAACCATAAATAATATACAACACAGTACAACATAGAGATAATAATAAAAAGTAAAAAGGAAGATGTAAATAAATACGAAATACAGCACATGTTCAACAGGTGTTGAAAGGTGGTCTTTTATAAAACGATATAACACAAAGATGCAGAAACGTGATAAATAATTTATATAGCGCCGACAATTCAACGCAGTGAGCTACTCTAAGGCGCTTCCCTCGCGCAAGCGAATTATTAAAATAAAATTAAACCATATGTTAGTCCCGAAATGACCTAGTTTGTGTCGAGTGGACGTTAACCCCCCCCCCCCTCTCTCTCTCTCTCTCTCTCTCTCCTTTCAATACAACTTTTTCTTATAATTGAGTGATAGTTTGAAGGGAATTATATAGCATGCCATAAATGTTCTCAAATCAACATTATTATCATAATAGCAGTGACAAGATTGGGCATGTAATTTATAAAAAGTTACAAACCTGCCATTGTTTTTTGACTGTTCTTCTTGTACCTAACGTTTCTACTCCATGCATCACTGCTGGTAAATTTATAAATATATTCCCAATCCTGGAAACATTACTTAGTACACATGGTAAAAGTCTGACACAAACACAGCTAGAACAGTATTCAATCAGTTGTATATTTGATTAAAACGTTTGAGATATTTTTATAACCTTTAATAGAATTTGCGCTTTTGGTTTCGTTTGATATTGAATTCCATAACTTCGGAGCACCGACTTCGAAAGATCTAGCACCGGAGTTGGTATCTCAAAAAGACTTAATTAAGAGGTTGTCTGTTTGTGAGCAAAGGGTTCTGCAAGGTTTGTTTTGTGAAGATCTCTATGGTATTGAGGTGAAGAATCATTATTTAGAGCAGAATACGTAATAGACAGTATTTTAAAATTGATACGTTGAGGGACTGGAAGCATATGGAGATCTTTGAGAATTGGTGTCATATGTTCATTTGGTTTATTCTTGGTTATGATACGGGCTGCTTTATTTTGAAGTTTCTGAAGTCGTTTAATTTTATTTTCTGGTAGATAGTACAAAAGTGATATACAGTAGTGTTTATCAGCATTTTAGTCGTTTCACTATCAATGAAAGGTCTAAGTTTTCCAATATTATAAATCTGAAAATTAATACTTTTACACATAGCCGAAATTTGTCTATTCATGTCCAGATTAGAGTCAAGATGAACACCAAGATTTTTTACAGAATCTGTTGGTGTAATAGAGATATTGCCAATTTGATAGTTTTCTGTTTTAGATTTTAATAGTTGCTGCCTGCTGCCGACTTTCATTATTTCTGTTTTGTCATCGTCGAGTTTTAATAAATTTGAGTCCAACCATTTACGAATATCTGATAAAAAGGCCCCAAGTTTGCATATCTCATATGAATTTATGAGATTAACTTCGGTTTTATATGATTTTTATGAGATTAACGACGCTTTTAATTGTGTTACAACTCATCGCAACCCACATTGATTGCTAGTGAAACTTGGTATTCAAAGTTATATTTGACCATTTTATCGGTGTTTTTAAACTACAGTCAAGGCGGCCGTAACTAGCTCAGAGCAACGAGGGGGCGGGAAAAGTTCTCAGGGGTGCTGTAAACTTGACAGACAATGTATATCTATTGTTTTGATGGTCGACAATATTTTCACATGGGGGGGGGGGGGGCAAGGGGATGTTGCAAGGGGGGGGGGGATGGCTTCGACTACAGTTTAAAGTTCTGATAGTCTATTTTCTTTCCCATTTTCCATTGTCAGGGCCCTAACATGCTTTTGTTCCGTGCCTGCGCTCAGTTGACTTTTAATGATTAAAGAAATTTTAAAATACAATTTCTTATACTTTTATCTAAATAACTATTTATTAAATCAACTTATATGTAAAATGTTTGTTTATCCTCATTCAACCCTCCATTTGATCGAAAAACCCTATAATATGTCTTGGAAAAATCATAATTCTACCATCTCTATTTGCTGAAATATGAACTGCTTTACACAGGTTTGGTCCATAAATATTCAAAGGGGCCCCCTCTGAATATTTCTGGTATGCAATTAGATAATTCCCCCCCCCCCCCACCCCCATATGTGAGGTCTTTACCAGGGGTACAACTTTTGACAGTAAAGACGAATTTACTATATTATATTATTTGATAAACTGGTCTTTTATTGTCTCTATCCACCCTACACAGTATGCGTATATGCTACAGTCAACGACTAAACGAATCAGTCTTACCATAATATGCCGAATCAGGGGCGGATCCAGTAATTTTTGCAGGGGGGGGGGGGGTCATGTTCCTGAGACAATGTATCTCCCCCTCCCCCCCTCCCGCTTGGTCTCTATCGTCATTTTGGCGTATATACATACACATTGAGCTTTTTAAACAGAGAAATTCAACACCTCGTTTGACGTCAATTTTTATTATGAAATTAATACAATGACTTTGTGATTCAATTTTATGGATGCAAAGCATTAATTGTGATATCACATAATGTCTATATCATTATCTCGTGCTTTGAGTGCCCATCCTGTCCCAAATCTGACGATAAAGGATAAAGCACACGGCCGAGAAACCTTTCTCATAAAAAGTGTTGATTTACAAAAAAAATTATGTAGCCGAGCGGGGGGGGGGGGGGGGGGTCGACCCCCCAAACCCACCCTCTGGATCCGCCCCTGCGAATGTTTGATTATCTTAGCGGAGTTTGCTTATTGAAGCGTTGAAATATTTCTTTTTGTTAATTTGATTAGTACTATCATATTACCTATATACCGTATACGTTATTTGATCGAACTGTCAAAAAGAATGACGTATAATGTTTTTAGTGACATGTACACGCATGTTATTTAGAATATTTATTATTTTTACGCCATGGGTCTACCAACACTAACATTTATATTGATGATGTTTTGGCATGCGCCTTATGACGTTATTCTAATTGTCTCTTAGACGTGATGGCATAATCGTCGGACGACGTGTTCTCGTGTGGTTGCCAAAGGTACGTACTACACTAAAATAACGTAATTATCTTATTTCAGAATTCCAGTAAAATGTTATTATGATACCAAAAGTTTCGAAAATGTGAGAAGGATGTTATGAGGGCGAGGGTAATGTTGGGTAGAGTGTTATGGGACATGAACAGTATTTTGCGATTCAAGTATACGTAGTTTTGATCCCAAGCCAAGCTTGTATATTATAAAAAGACAAGGAGTGTGATTGTCTAGTCTAACGAGTCTCCTATCTTTTATCTCCGGATTACATAAATACAGATACACCATATCATTGTTAGTCCTGGAATGACCTTGCTTGTACCCCCACCCCCACCCTTATAGCTTGCAACAAGATACAAGGCAGATTCCTTGTGGAATTCAATGCCAGATAAATCCTATCAAAATTGTGACATTATGATTGTTTATCGCGGTGTTTATATCCCCCCGTTGTTAGCATTATGAAGTTAAAAATGAAATAAAATGAAATGAGGTTTAACGTACGCCCTGTAACGTTTCTATGCCAGCCAGGTTAATGCCAATGGGACGAGCATACGCCATACATTGCGTATTGAGGGAAATAGACCTCATTAATATGATTTAGGTCTTTCAACTGCACGCCAACTTGTACGCGGGATCTTTGTTTTTCGTGTCATCCGAACGACTTACTGAACCACCGTTGGCGAGATGGTTAGTGGGGGTTAACAATTGCTTCCACTGATGGTCATATTACAGAACATTGTTTCCGGAGAAACTTTCCAGAAGAGCCAGTTATGATTAAAAGGCAGCTCAAGTGCACGGTAGGCATTGGCGGACGAAAGGGGCATTCACAGCCTCCATCCCCACCGCTTTCACCGTGACTCTCTTGATGGAGTCGATTTTCAACTCCCCGTTACCATTTCCAAAAACCTTGTGAACATTATAGAGGCTACATTTTTAAACATATTTTCAATTTTGTGAAAACGATAAAGATAAGATTTCTTGAAGGCATAAAGGATTCTATTGGTTTTCAAATCTAGTGTGAAGCACTGGGATCGGTGAGGAGGGACACTGCCACATTTTCGGCGTATCTCCAGGCTTTGCGTGGCCATCTTGAATGATTTTTAACATATTGGTATTGGTAATATAACTGCCTAAGTGTATTTTAAGATCTTATCGATAGTTTTAAATGGCTAACAGTAGTCTGAAAAGGCTATTATTATAGCGCGTTCAATAAAACAAAACGAGACATGACTTCAAGATCAAAGGAAATGAAATGAAATGGAGTTTAGCGTCCTACTGTTCTGCTCCGAACTGGGCTAATGAACACGGGCATACGCCATACGGTGTGCTATGAGGGAAATTTTGCCCCGACAGTGGCACTACGGCCTACTCTTATATCGAATTCCAATTGTCAAGAGATCTTTTAAGTGCACGTCAGTGTGTACACGGGACCTCGGTTTTTCGTCCGGCATGACTGACAACGGAGAACCACACCGGAAAATCAGGATGAACTTTCTCGTCTAATGCAGGGATCGAACACCCGACCTCCAGGCTAGCGAGCCAGCTCAAGATCAAGCCATCTTTTAAAGTGTTGGAAGAAGGTGTTCGTAGCTTTACAGTATGTAACATTTTGTGAATTGGCTTTGCAAAACTTTGTTGGTGGCAAAAAAACCATCGCTACTGGAATAAAATTTTTGTTTTCTTTCTTTTTAAGGAATAAAATGAAAAAAATACATCTATACCAAACCATTGGGTGTAAGCCAAAACAAAAAAAAGAAGAAAAAATATAAAATAATTAAGAATTGAAAAGAATAAAGGATGTTACTGGCTATAGAACGGTTGAATGTTAAAGGATGTCGTGTTCCAGGAATCAAAAGCACGATTCCTGTAATGGACAATTTCAAAAGAAATGAATATGATATGAATCATTTGGGTAAAATACATCAAACGAATTCGCTGCCCGACTCACGAAATCACCATTTCATGGTCAGAGGTCATCCAGTCCCTGCTAACGCTGTATTTCAGCCTAGATACTTTTCTATACCACAGTTAAAGTCTTCCATGCCCAGGGCAAGAACAGAGGTACCTTCTACCAGAAGTTTTAGTACCAAAGGGTTTGAGTTCGAAAGAAATGGGGTAAGCAAGGGATCAGGAGCAGCGTCCAGAAAAGATCAGGATAAAGTAAAGAAACTACTAACATCCAACAAAGTAAATTTAAGACTTGTGGATACAGTAAATAGTGTACAACAAAAGGATACCAAAAACGTAACAAGGAGACGAAAACGTTGCACGCGAACTTACATGAGAGCGAATAGTCCAAACGGTAAAAAGAGTGAGACGTCGTTAAGGCAGTGCCTTCAGGTTAGTTCAGGCCTAAATACCTCAGCCAGTACTATCAAGGCAGACGATCCGTATAAAGTCACACCTGCTCTGTATCCACAGAGGACGAACAAAGAAGGTAATGTTAATTTTAACAATACCAACTTTTCACGGAAAGAAAAATCCTGGATAGACGGTATCAAATATCAGTTTGGCTCCGTGGAGAGTTATGTTCATTTTAATAATGTATTTCATAACAGACAAAACGGTCTTGTACCAGTACTTAAAGGATTTCCGGCTCATTGTGTGGATACGGTTCTTATCAAAATGTTGTTTGAAATGAATAAATACCACCCATATTACATGTAATTGAGAGATACGCATGTGCAGATATTCCGGAAACTGAGTATAAACATTGAAATAAAGAAAGCAAGTTTGAAAAATGTGTTAATGGTTTTTATATTCACTGGATACTGTTTCCTTTAGCAAGAGCTAAATCTGCCTAATGCAGGTCCGTCTTAAGATCGTAAATGTTGTCTAAATTATTAATTAGACATTAATATACTTATCCAGACCATAATCAACTCATCGCTAGCCTATGATATTTACTGGATTGGAATACGATCTGCTGCTCAACGTTCATTGATGATTAAATCAATGGCCGGAGGTAAATTGGACCCAAGTTGAGTCCAACATGGTCGCCGCATATTAATGAGTCTATTTTAACCGTAACCCTAACCTATAAAACTTTTCACATAAATTTCCTAGGTTGATTTTTTTTTTTAGAAGAAATATTTGAAGTTCATCAAAACAAATGATGGTTAAAGGTAATTTGGACCCAAGTTGAGTCCAACATTGCCGCTGTAAAAATAGATATGTCCATGTGCATTTGTTTTGATGAACTTCAAATATTGCACACAGGACCCCCCTCAGCCCCAGGACTAGTTTGGATAACTGAACCATTTCATTCTTCGGTGGTTTTGAAGGTGATTGGGGTTGGGTGGGGTGGGGGCTTTTATGTCAACCCAGTCGTTGGGCCAATATGGGGCCTTTAATATTTTCTTCAGAAATCCTTGATTGAGCTCGTCTTGCTGATTCTTCGATACATCTATATAATACTTGTTGACATTGCAATGATTGTATATAAAATGAAGAGCCCCGGGGAAGAACGATCTAAGTCACTTTTTCAACAAACCCCAGTTAATGGCGCCATCTGGTAGCAATTGTATAAGCTTTCTGTGGAAATGGCCTCCTGGACAAATACGTCCATTGTACCCTTTATTTGACCTTAATTTGCCTGAAAAGTGGAAGTCAGTTGTTGTACTGATAATTATGATTCATATTAAACATCATTTTGAAGTTGTAATTAAACCCACTCGTTGTTCTGTTCGCGTCAAGCATTCTCGTTCAAAAGTCTGTTTTGACTTTTGCGCAAAGACAAAAATGTGACTTAGATCGTTCTTCCCCTGGACTCTTTAAATTAACTCCTAGAAAATGATAAAAGCTCTACATTGTTAAAACTGGCGCTATCACACCACCTATATTCATTAGCCCAGTCGGTGCAAAACAGTAAGAGGTTAAACCCCATATCATTTTATTTCTACTCTCACACCAATTTGGCTTTTAACAATGCTGAGTTTTTAATCTTTTCATGAAATTAATTTTAAATATACACGAAAACCACACATTTCTTTGTATGTTTTTGTGTTTTGAAAATACAACTATTTATTGCCACATACACTTTGCATTTATTCAAACACTATTCAATGTAATTAGTTAGAACCATTCAATTAGTAGATTACTTCATTTAGTATCTAGCACCTCAATCGTTGATGCTGGCAGTTAGATGATCCAACTGGTTGACATATACCTGTAATGAAAAACACAAAAGGAATAGTAATCATTACAATCATCAAGTTCAGAAAGCTCATTTAACGCAGCACCGAGTTCACAAAGCATTCTCAGACGTAAGTTAAGAATTTACTCAAAATTGTTCACCTTATTTTAACTAAGATATAGCCATTTATAAAACCTTTGTTGTTTTAATGTATCAAATATATCAATAAGAAACTATGTGCAAAGTTTTGTGTTTCTGGATCAAAGATATTTCTCATAAAAAGTGATTGAAAGTTGAGTAAATTCTAAACTTAAGTCCAACAATGCTTTGTGAACTCGGGGTCAAATTATATAAGGTTGCGAGTTTTGTCGTTATAACTACTACCAGGGGCTAAGTGAGAGGGGCGCAATGACGAGCTTTGCTTCATGATTTTGAGTTTTTGCGCCCCCTTGAGTTCTTGTGCCCCCTGGTAAAATGACGCAAATGACAAAAAATCACACAGTTTCAATGCGGTTTTCAACATTATAACCATAATCATAATGCTTAACCAGTGTCAAACATATACCATTGGTCAGATATGCTACAAATCATGTTCCACACAGCCCAATATTACCTGGTGGTACTCGGAGCGACCTCACATGTTATAAAAATCATTAATTATACTTTTTTTTACATGCCAAGCCCATAATCAACGCTCTAGGGTGGTTTAGAACGAATGTCAGTTAATGATTTAATTTAAAAATAGATAATCGAGACTTTGTTCATTGTCGTAACAACGGTAGAAATGACAATCGAGACTACACTGTTCTTCCAACGGCGATGACTCCGCTCAGAATGGAATAATTATTATTTGACTGAACTTTTCAACATATTCTCTTTTCATTATCTATATTTTAACTATTACATCGAAAACGGTTAGCTCTTTATCTAAATCATACACAATGCATCTTTGATAATCGATAAAAGCCGAATATGTTACCATACTGGCAATTAGAAACCTATGAAGGATTATTATGATCTGTCAAAAGCCAGGGGGGATTATCTACCGTTGATATTTTGATTTTAGTTTTCTTAAACATACATTATGCAAGAGCTACATCTGCCTATTGCAGGTCTTTCTTTAGGCCCGAAATGTTATCTAAATTATTAATTAGACATTAATTAACTTATCCAGACCATAATCAACTCTCGATGTCATCGCTAGCTTGCGATGTTTATTGGATAAGGTTCCGATTTCCTGTTCGACTTCCATTCATAATTTAATCATGAAATGGATAATCGAGACTATGTTTTTAATCGTACCGACTTTAGTATTGATGGTCGAGGGTAGGCCGAAAATTCAATCGCTAAAATCTCGGTTCAGAGTGGATCAATTTGACTGAAATTCCCTTTACATTATTTAGTTTTTAACTATTATAATGAGAACTGCCAGCTCTTTATCTCATCTCCCATATTATATCTTTAATTAAAATGTTAGATAAGCTATTTGAGTATATTTTAGCCTGGAATACGCCGCGATAGATATTCTCCAAAAAATGACGATCGGCGGCTTTTAGATTATTGGGATAGGATTTTTTAAAATGCTTCCATTCAGCAGACGTTTCAGTTAAGCCTGTTCGCTGACCAAAAAATGGGTGTTTGCGCGTACATTTCACTTTCCCGCATATGTTCCTCATAAGTTCATAGTAATAGGCACTATCTTACTTTAATAACAATTTAAATTATCTTTTAAAAACCTGCCTCGTCCCACCCGCTTTCGGGAGTGCGACTTCAGCATAAACCACAGACCAGATTGTGTTAATCGTACTATTTAGACAGATCTATATTATTTCATCTGAATCGACTTCTATTGGTGTGAACAAAACCTACATCTTTTATGTACATATTTACATTTACATTTACACCTATAAAATACGTTGCCAGGCAACCAAAGATATGGCAACAGATGTGCAGTCATGTCGTCGTAAGATCTTTACACGGTATAACATCAATAATAATGCATATAAATTTCATACCATTTAATGTTTGTCGCCAGAGCGTTCAAAGATTCAACAAAGTGAAACATGGGCGATAATTCTCAAAGAAACTGACGGAATAGTGGATATTCTGCGTTCCATCAATTTGAATAATGCATATTATGAATTATGAATTGAACAATTTGTATTCACAACGTTCAATAAAATGAAACAATGGCCACAAAGTGATAATAGAGGCGAAATGTTCCAAATACAACAAATTTGACAAAGCCAATTAAAAAATATATATTTTTCACATGGTAATAAAATGACTTTTACTATGTGTTTTTCGATTTTAAAATGATTTTGAAAACCAAACATGGTAGAAATTCAAAATTGCTGCAAAAATGGGATCCAAAATGGCGGATTTTTTTAAGTTAATCGTTATTTTTCCTCTTTTGGATACGACTTGTAACATGCCTTAATTCCAGGGATCCACTGAAAAGGAGTATGGTAGTTTCAAGGGTCTCTAAACTAGTTAATGTTTAGGGTCCCCTATTATTCCATACTCCTTAGATGCTTCAGGAATATGCTGTTAGTCATGAAATTACGTTGTTTTTGATGAATTGTTACGAATGCCACACGTTAAATATGTGCATAAGCCTCTATTGGGGCTCGATGTGGTCTCTCCTACCCGGCACGAAATTTCTTTTGAAAAACTGGCTGTAAATTTATGTTTTTTATCGTTTGTCCTGGTGTTTCTAGCTTACGTACAAATTTGATGTGTGACAATCTTATCGGAAATTAAATTTTGAACCCAATATTGATTTCAGTAATTCCGAAAACGTTATTTCACAAGTAATATACACACGAGCTTAAGACATTGCGTAATATATTGTAAAAACACTCGGGCCTACGACCCTCTTGTTGTTACACTATATTACTTAATGTCTCGCTCTAGACCATTAAACAATACATAATATATATCATTGGGCTATAATGAATATGCTGTATGTTTATTTGAATAACTTGCAGGGGTCTTTAAACATTGAAAGGAAACCGGAGAACCAGGAATAAATCAGGTTTCAGACCATAAACGTATAATTATTATGTACATATATTTACATATGTAATAAATAATCAAAAGAATCGATTCTATCAGTTGACAATATGTTGTAGGCAATATCTGTTCTCGTAATTAATTCGGGGCGTTTTAAATGTAGTGGTTTGGATCAATCTATATTTGTACAGGGAGGCTACACTATCATAGAGCATCAGTGAGTATTCATGCGTATACAGCAATAATAATGAAGACGTAACAAGTCTAATATGTACAATACATGTACCATTCAGGGCTCGATACGCTCACGTGGCATACACAGGTAAGTCATATCTTTAATTTTTGATCAATTTTAGCATAATATAGGTCTGTATCCGTCCATCATGTCCAACACGTTTTAAAAGGAGCAAATAGAGACTTGTGCACACTTACAATCACCACAACCTTTTGGTGGAGTTACACTATATCTGGTATGTTGATTGTGTCATGCTCATATGTTCATGGGACAAAAAACCGAGGTCCCGTGTACACATTGGCGTACACGTAAAAGATCCTTTGACAGTTGGAATTCGATATAAGAGTAGGCCGTAGTGCCGCTGTCCGAGCAAAATTTCCACCATAGCACACTGTATGGCGTATGCCCGTCTTCATTAGTCCAGTTCGGAGCAGAACAGTACGACGTTAAACCCCATTTCATTTCATTTCATTTTATGTGATTGATACTTTCGATGCGGAATGGAGGCACCTTAAAGGTTGTATGTATCTATTTTTTGGAACCTTAAAATAGATGAAAATGGTTCTAAAAGCACATATTAACGTAATATGAATGTATGTAAAGTGATTTGTATTCAATTTTTGAAAAAAATATTGTAATTTCTAATCAGTTATGTTCGGCGAAATACACCAGAAGTCTCAATCGAATGGCAATCACTAGAGTCTGGTTATTCCAGTCTACACCGATAGTATTTATTGCGAATGATCTCCAGATAAGAATATCGCGTGACCGTTCTTCGAGTCCCTCGTTACAAATGGCGCTGAAATGCATTATAGTACACGATTCGTGTACCAATGGTAAAATGTGAAACACTATTGTTTTTGTTCGGATTATTATTAGGGTTTCTGTGACAATGCGAAATGTCCGAAATCACCGAAGTTGTCGTTTTTTGAAATATTGCCGTAATATTAACAATAATTGTCGGATTTTAACATTTGATACATTTTTGATATAGCCCGAGACACGGCAAATAGCTACGATTGATTAGATTTTTGATTTTCGATTTATCTTCGAAGATATTAGGCGCCAAATTTTGAAAATTTAAATTTTGACAAAAAACTTTTTTATTTATTAATATTTTGTTATGGCGCTCTACCTATAATTAAAGGGTCATGTAATTTGAGCAAAAATATAAAAAAATTTTGTATCGATAATTCACCTTGGCCGCTATTGGCTAATTCAGTTTATGGGTTCTAGGTTATTTATTTATTGCTCGATTTGTATAAAACAAAGTTCATATGCTCCATGGTGCAAAGTCTCAACTTTTTTATTACCGATAAAGCTTTCTGTCAGCAGCGGAAATGACGTAATTTTGACCAAAACTACAATTTTGGCGGTAAGGTACGCCTTTTCGAAAGCAAATATTATTTTTTTAAAATAAGTAAAAAGAAAGAAGTTGCGCCGTGTAAAGGGGCAAAAAAAGTCGAAAGCCGTTTTTTTAATTTCGATTTCATTTTTGCGCCATTTCGGTTTAAAGGTGAAAAACGGTGTAAAATTGAGCTATTTACAACCCATTCAGGCGTTTCATATTTTAAAATATTTCTTTTTGACTTTTATAAACTTGTAGCATTAATTCATACGAAGAGAATCTATCTCAAAATTAGTTTGTAATATGAGCAGTTTTTTATGTGGTATTTTACTTAGGGTTAAAGAGTCATCTGATTTGACCAAAAATGGCAACATTTTTTTGCCACCGTATTTTTCCTTGGCCCCCATTGGCTAATTCAGTTTTTCAGTCCTGGATTAATTATTTATTGTTCGATTTGTATAAAACAAAGTTCATATGCTCCGTGGTCCAAAATGTCATTTTTTTTTGTTACCGGTACATTTTCCTTTCGATAGCGGAAGTGACGTAAATTTAGCAAAAACTGCAAATTTGACAGTTCGGTACCACTTTTTGAAAGCAAATATTATTTTTTTCAAATCTGGTATGACTGAAAGGGTGTGCCCTGTTAAGGCGCAAAAATCATCGCGCTCAGTTTTTTTAATTTTTGTTTCGTTTTCGGATCATTTCGATTTAAAGCTATTCGAAACCCATTCAGGCTTTTCATATTTAAATATATTTTTTCGAAACGTTCATAAACTAGTAGCAATAATCCATACGAAGAGAATGTATGTGAAAATTAGTTTGTAATATGAGCAGTTGCCGAGAAATGGGCAATTTTGCATGAGTCACCCTTTACGCTAGTTTGCCTGTGAAAGAGTCAATTATTATTCGATTTTCATAAAAGTGACACCATTTGATGCGTAATGTCAATTTTAACAAGGTCAAACCAATTTAACATTTCCTATGTCACCGGAAATGACGTAATTTGGGCAAAAATTGTATTTATTGTCTTCAAAACCAGTATTTTATTCAAATAAGTGGTATTTGTTATGTGTTTAAAATTTTGATATTTGATCCCAATCAACCAATAGAATGAACCCATACAACCATATAGGTATCACAAAATGGTTTCTAACTTGTTCAGTTGCGGAGAAATAGACGATTTTCAACAGGTAACTTTTCAAAGTTTTTGGTCCATAAAAGTGTTAAATATTATTCGATTTTCATAAAAAATTTTCACCGTGTGATACATAATGCCATTTACAATTTCATACAAGTAATCTAACACTTTTACTGTCACCGGAAGTAATGTCATTTTGGCAAAAACTGTATTTTTAGCCTTCAAAACAGATATTTTATTCAAATGAGTCTAATTTGTAATGTTTTTAAAATTATGATATTTAATTCCAATCAACAAATAGACTGAACACATACGATCATACAGATACCAAAAAATGGTTTCTAACTTGTACGGTTGCAGAGAAATAGACGATTTTCTACAAGTCCCTTTTCAAGGTTGTTGGTCTATAAAAGTGGCAATTATTGTTCGATTTACATAAAATTTTCTCCATGTGATGCCTTATGCCATTTCTGATTTCATAAAACTAATTTAACATTTCCATTATCAACGGAAGTAATGTAATTTTGTCAGTATCACTTACATGTAACAAATGTATACAATGAATTGATATTGCTGGATTTGGTTGATTCTGTGTACATTTTATTTGATGTGTGCAATGCTTATATGGAAACCTGTTTAATGGTTTCATCGGTACCGGAAGTGAAATATGTTCAAGGGTAACGGGGCACCGGTGAAACCCGTCATTACTGCGTCGCAGTTATAGTGATGATTGTTTTTACCAAAAAAACAATCATCCAACACGTTGGCCGTTTTATTTTCCACTTGAGCATATCTCAGAAACTACCCTTCGGATTGATCCGATATCTTTGGTTTTTCAGGAAAGATGGCATGACTTAGAGATTAAATATATTTCGAAAATTCTGCGAAAATGCGAAATGTTCGAAATCACCGAAGTTGCTTTTTTTTTTAAATATTGCCGTAATATTAACAATAATTCCCGGATTTTAAGGTTTGATACATTTTGACATAGCCAGAGACAAGGCAAATAGCTACGGTTCTTTAGATTTTTGATTTTCGATGAATCTTCTGAGATATTAAGCGCCAAATTTTGAAAATTTAAATTTTTACAAAAATTTTTTTATTAAAAAATATTTCGTTATGGTATTTTGTCCAAGGCTAAAGGGTCGTCTGATTTGAGCAAAAATGTCAACAATTTTTGTCTAGATAATTTTGCTTGACGTCCATTGGCTAATTCAGTTTTTCGCTCGTAGATTGATTTTTTTATTGTTCAATTTGTTTAAAACCAAGTTCATATGCTCCTTTTTCCAAAATGTCATTTTTTTTGTTACCGATATAGTTATCTGTCGGCTCCGGAAGTGACATAATTTTAACAAAAACTATAATTTTGACAGTTCGGTACCAATTTTTGAAAGCAAATATAATTTTTTCAAAATTTGATATTACCAAAAGGATGCGCCATGCAAAGGCGCACAAAACATCGGACTCAGTTTTTTTAATTTCGATTTCGTTTTTGGGCTATTTCGATTAAAAGGTCAAAAACGGTGAACAATTAAGCTATTTACAACCCATTCAGCGTCTTCATATTTTAAAATATGTCTTCGTAACTTTCATAAACTCGTAGCAATAATGCATACGAAGAGAATGTATGTGAAAATTAGTTTGTAATATGAGCAGTTGCCGAGAAATAGGCAATTTTGTACGCGTCACTTTTTACATTATTTTGCCTGTAAAGGAGTCAATTATTATTCGATTTTCATTTTTTTGTTACCATTTGATGACTTTTGCCAATTTTGACTTGGTCAAACCAATTTAACATTTTCGCTGTCACCGGAAATGACATCATTTGGGCAAAAACTGTATTTTTAGCCTTAAAAAGCAATATTTTATTCAAATGATTCTTTTTTTGTAATGTTTTTAAAATTATTATATTTGATTCAAATAAACAAACAGCATAAACCCATTCGATCATACAAATACCACAAAATGGTTTCTAACTTGTACGGTAGCAGAGAAATAGACGATTTTCTACAAGTCACCTTTCATGGTTTTTGGTCCATAAAAGTGTCAATTATTATCCGATTTTCATAACATTTTCACCATGTGATACCTTAGGCCATTTATGATTTTATAGAATTAATTTAACATTTTCATTATCACTGAAATTAATGTCATTTTTGCAAAAGCTGTATTTTTAGCCTTCAAAACAAATATTTTTTTTGTAGTGGGTTATGTTTATTATTTGTTTAACAATATGATATTTGACTCCAATGGACATATAGATTGAATCAATACGATCATATAGTTGTCTAAAAATTGCTTCTAGCATCTTCCCTTGTCGAGAAATAACCAATTTTGTCAGGATCAATTTTTCAGATTTTTTTCGCATTTTAATTTCCCATTAGAAAGTCAGCTTACTTAGCGGCAGGTCAGTAACAATTTTTGTCAGAATCACATTTTTGACTCATGTAACACATGGCAACAAATGTATAACTAGAACTGCGACGCAGTAATGACGGGTTTCACCGGTGCCACATTACCTTTGAACTTGCTCTATGCCAAATAGCCGATTATTACTTACAATATTATTATACAACATTTGGGAAATATTCCTTATTGTAT